CTTAGGCATCAATAACCCGACACAACCTGAACCTTCAGAACATAAAAACGAGGTCAAATGGGCTAATTAAGGAAATGACGTACACTTCATACTACAAGCATAGACAATGAGACTCGTCTTTTCAGATGTAGGTAACAATACAAAAAATTTTTATTTTTACTTTTTTTTTTAGTAGTTAATCCGCCACCCGCCCGAATTTAATTAAAATATAATTTTTCGTCACGTCATCCGCCCGACCTGCGGATTAACCGCGGATACCGCGGTTGTAACCGCAATCCGCGTATCTCTAGTATGTAGTGCTCCGCTAACGGGGTTAACTGGTATATTAAGATTTTCCCAAATCCCACAGGAAGAAGGACAATAACGTCTTTCCCCTTGATAAAATTCCAGGGTTTTTGTGAACCTTCTAGAGTATTTTGATTCCTGATCTAGTCGCTGGAGAGAAATGAAATTGAGCGGAGACACTGGGTGGCGCCAGACTGGATACATGAGCAGAACTTTGTTCTGCAAATTTACACAAAATGGAGTCATTTTAGCTCTGAACTGTCTGATGACGTCGCTGCAGCGAGACACAGACTCAAAACAAATGATCCAGGTTTCATTAAAGGTTCAGTGACTGATGTGGTTACATGAACTGCACCTGTCTGCATGACTCACTGTCATGAACCTCCACCTCAAACATGTTTCAATTATGTTTCAGTAAAAACTGAAGTTCGGACATTTCTGGTCTAAACGGACTAAAGATAAAGAGTCACACAAACAAAACACAAGTCCAGGTCCAGGTTTTGAGTCATTTCAGACTTTTAACGTGACGTCCTGTTGAAGTGTTTCTGACCAGACTCTCGTGTCTTCAGGAGACGTCACTCCAGGTCCCTCAGGTCAGCTGCTGCTCAGAGACGTGTTCGCGGTGAAGGTGAAGAGGCGGCGGTGCGTGGGGCAGCAGTCGGGGGGCGCTGTGCTGGGGCTGGCGCTGTTCTGGGCCCAACGCCACGGCCCACGACTCACCGAAGAGACGCTCCACCTGCACAACGCCTCCACCGAGCACACGCAGCTCTGGTACACCGCCATCAAGGACCAGCTCAGAGGTAAACACACACCGCCAACTCAAACACCACCAGCCTGGTACACAAGGAAGCTCAAAAACACACACACGCCAACTCAAACACACACGCAGCTCTGGTACACCACCATCAAGGACCAGCTCAGAGGTAAACACACACACCGCCAACTCAAACACACACCCAGCTCTGGTACACCGCCATCAAGGACCAGCTCAGAGGTAAACACACACACCGCCAACTCAAACACACACCCAGCTCTGGTACACCGCCATCAAGGACCAGCTCAGAGGTAAACACACACACCGCCAACTCAAACACACACCCAGCTCTGGTACACCGCCATCAAGGACCAGCTCAGAGGTAAACACACACCGCCAACTCAAACACACACCCAGCTCTGGTACACCGCCATCAAGGACCAGCTCAGAGGTAAACACACACCGCCAACTCAAACACACACCCAGCTCAACACACACAGGTACACACGCTCACACATCAAGGACCAGCTCAGAGGTAAACACACACCGCCAACTCAAACACACACCCAGCTCTGGTACACCGCCATCAAGGACCAGCTCAGAGGTAAACACACACACCGCCAACTCAAACACACACCCAGCTCTGGTACACCGCCATCAAGGACCAGCTCAGAGGTAAACACACACACCGCCAACTCAAACACACCCAGCTCTGGTACACCGCCATCAAGGACCAGCTCAGAGGTAAACACACACACCGCCAACTCAAACACACACCCAGCTCTGGTACACCGCCATCAAAGACCGACTCAGAGGTAAACACACACACCGCCAGCTCAGAGGTAAACACACACACCACCAACTCAAACACACACCCAGCTCTGGTACACCGCCATCAAAGACCGACTCAGAGGTAAACACACACACCGCCAGCTCAGAGGTAAACACACACACCGCCAGCTCAAACACACGATCCTGCAGTTTTTATTTCACAGTTTTCTGGCTTCAAATCATGGATCTGTAATAAAACATGGAGAAGCCCCTCCCCCTCTGTCCCGGCTCCAGACCGACTCGTTTATTAAAATATAAAATATGAATCAAAATCAAGTTCCTAAAAACTGACACAGACTTTTCCACAGACTCAGGTCGTTTTGTGGTTTTGTCACACGTTTTGTCACTGGTTTTGTGGAGTTTCACACTCTCCTCGGGGTCACATTGACCCCAAGAAACTTTTTTTTCTTCCCGCTCTCTTGGGGCGGGTCAATCAGACCCAAAAATCTATTTTCATTTATTTTCTCACCAGGCAAAAAAATAAAATTTTGGGTCTGATTGACCTGCCCCAAGAGAGCGGGAAGAAAAAAAAAGTTTCTTGGGGTCAGTGTGACCCTGAGGAGAGTGTGAGGGTTTTAAAGTCACTGTCGTCAGCTGAGCAGAAATGACTTTATATAATTTCCTCAAAAA